ATGCGTCCCCCCCGCTGTACAGCGTTTCGTGGCCCCATAGGGAGCCCCACCGAAGCCCCTGGGACTGTCCGCGTGCGTCCCGGAAATTTAATTTGGCATTTGCACCCCACCCAGTACGGCGTTTCGTGGCCCCATAGAGAGCCCCACCGAAACCCCCAGTGGGACTGCCCGCATGCATCCCTGAAACACAATTTTGATATTTTCACACCACCCACTCCGGCGTGTCGTGACCCCGTAGAGAGCTCCACCGAAGCCCCCAGTGGGACCGTCCGCATGCGCCTCGGAAGCCCAATTTGGCATTTTCATCCACCCAGTACAACGCTTCGTGGCCCCATGGGGAGCTCCGCCGAAGCCCCCAGTGGGACCGTCCGTATGCGTCCCGGAAACCGAATTTGGCACACCCCTCATACGTTTCGTGGCCCCATAAGGAGGTCCACCGAAGCCACCACTGGGACCGCCCGCATGCGTCCCACACCAGGTTTTGCATTTTCTCCCCACCGAGTGCGGCGTTTCGTGGCCCCATGTGGAGTTAGCCCGACGGCCCCAGTTCTACCGCCCGCATGCGTTCCCCCCCCCAGTGCAGCGCTTCGTGGCCCCATAAGGGGCCCCACCGAAGGTCGCAGTGCTACCGTCCGCATGCGTCCCCCACGCCCAGTGCAGCGTTCCGTGGCTCCGCAGGGAACCCCGCCGAAGGTCCCAGTGCTACCGTTCCCATTCCCAGTACAGCGTTCGTGGCCCCATAGGGAGCCCCACCGAAGGTCCCAGTGCTACCGTCTGCATGCGTCCCCCCCCGCTGTACAGCGCTTCGTGGCCCCATAGGGAGCCCCACCGAAGCCCCTGGGACTGTCCGCGTGCGCCCCGGAAATTTAATTTGGCATTTGCACCCCACCCAGTACGGCGTTTCGTGGCCCCATAGAGAGCCCCACCGAAGCCCCCAGTGGGACTGCCTGCATGCATCCCTGAAACACAATTTTGATATTTTCACACCACCCACTACGGCGTTTCGTGACCCCGTAGAGAGCTCCACCGAAGCCCCCAGTGGGACCGTCCGCATGCGCCTCGGAAGCCCAATTTGGCATTTTCATCCACCCAGTACAACGCTTCGTGGCCCCATGGGGAGCTCCGCCGAAGCCCCCAGTGGGACCGTCCGCATGCGTCCGGGAAGCCGAATTTGGCACACCCCTCATACGTTTCGTGGCCTCATAAGGAGGTCCACCGAAGCCACCATTGGGACCGCCCGCATGCGTCCCACACACCAGGTTTTGCATTTTCTCCCCACCGAGTACGGCGTTTCGTGGGCCCATAGGGAGTTAGCCCGACGGCCCCAGTTCTAGCGCCCGCATGCGTTCCCCCCCACCCAGTGCAGCGCTTCGTGGCCTCATAGGGAGCTCCACGGAAGCCCCCAGTGGGACCGTCCGCATGCGTCCTGGAAACCAAATGTGGCATACCTCTCATACGTTACGTGGCCCCATAGGGAGCTCCACCGAAGCCACCAGTGGGACCGCCCGCATGCGTCCCACACACCAAGTACGGCGTTTCGTGGCCCCATGTGGAGTTAGCCCGACGGCCCCAGTTCTACCGCCCGCATGCGTTCCCCCCCACCCAGTGCAGCGCTTCGTGGCCCCATAGGGAGTTCCACCGAAGAAAATATTCACAATTGCGATGCCCACAGCTGCATATGGTTGGGTCCGTCGCCAGGATAATTTTCACCCTCGGGTTTTCTTTGTTGGACCCATCAGGTTCTTTCTTCTGCTCTCGTAGCTGTGATCCTTGAATTCTCTTTATCATGTGTTTTTGCGCCCTCGTTGTTTTTCCTACCCTCGCAGGTGTTGCCCTCGGGTTCTTTTTACCTTCGGTTCTTTGGCACCCTCGGTGTTTTTTAGCACTCGCGTATTTTTGGTGTGCTGCTGTTTTTCCCATCCATCCTGTGTGTTGGGGCCTCGTTTTGAAGAGACGGTCCCCGCGTTCCTCCTCCCTCCTCCCTCTCCCTCCTCCCCCTCCTGCCTCTTATTTGCGCCCCACCCACCCAGTATAACCTTTCGTGGCCCCGTAGGGAGCTCCACCGGAGGCCCCAGTGCCATCGCCCGCATGCGTCCCCCACACCCATTTCGGCACACCCCTCACACGTTTCGTGGCCCCATATGGAGCTCCACCGCAAGCCACTGTGCCACCGCCTGCATGTTCTCCCACACCCATTTCGGCACACCCCTCGCACGTTTCGTGGCCCCATAGGGAGCTCCAACGAAGGCCCCGGTGCCACCGCCCGCATGCGTCCCCCACGCCCATTCCGGCACACCCTTCGCATGTCCCGTGGCCCCATAGGGAGCTCCACCGAAGGCCCCAGTGCCACCGCCCGCGTGCGTCACCCACACCCATTTCGCAACGAAGGCCATGGTGCCACCGCCCGCATGCGTCACCCACTCACATTCCGGCACACCCCTCGCATCATTCGTGGCCTCATAGGGAACCCCACCGAAGGCGCCAGTGGCTGCGTTCCCCTGCGCCCACCGCACCCATTTCGGCACACCCCTCGCACGCTTCGTGGCCCCATAGGGAGCTTCACCAATGGCACCAGTGGCTGCGTTCGCATGCGCCCACCGCACCTATTTTGGCACACCTCTCACGGGCTTCGTGACCCCATAGGGAATTCCACCGACGGTCCCGGTGGCAACTCTCGCATGCGCCCACCAGATAAATTTTGGCACGCTCCTCACACGTGTCGTGGCCTTATAGGGAGCTCCTCCGAATGCGGTGCATACAACAACGGCATTCACAACTGCATCTGGTTGGGTCTTTCGCCAGGCAAATTGTTTTGGCTTAGGCTTGTTTCTGTTTGTTTGTTTTTTACCCTCGTGGGTCTTCAAGGGCCTCGCGCAGGAAAAGTCGGGGCATCGGAGGTCTCCAAGACGCCCAAGGGCTTTCAAGACGGCCCTAGAGCGCCCGAAGAGGACTCCAAGACGGCCCAGAGAGGCTTCCAAAACGGCACCCGGCGGCGTCAGAACGCCGTAAGGCGGCCAAAGATGCCTCCAAAAAGCCCCTCAAGGCTTCCAGGAGGCACAAGGAGGCCCGCAAGATGCCTCCAGGTCTGGGCTCGCGCCGTGGGAGAAGATCACGGCGTGAGGGTTTTCGGTAATCATGGAAGGCCGGTCTTGAGGAAGGGGTCGATACCTCCAGGGGTCCTCGTTGCAAAGAAAACGCGACGTCGAGGGTCCAGGGTGGGGGGGTGTAGTTAAAAAGGGTCGCCAGCTCCTCTTGAGGCGTATGCATTCTCAATCGTTTTCTCTTGCATGTGCGAGTATTGAGATTTTGTATGCAAAATCGCCGTCTAGGTGCCGCGAGCAGGTTTCAGTACGATTTCGAACGCTTTAGGAGCGGTCTGTGGAGTCTGGGCGGTCCTGAGAGGCCCTTCTTTCCCCGAGGGGGTGGCGACGACCTAGTTGCGACTCCGCCGTGGCATTGCCTAGCTCGCGCTTCCCGTGCTAATCAGTCACGAATGTGTGTGTGTGAGAGAGTGTTTGTGTGTTGCTCTACATGCACCGAGTTTGGGCACCTCGCCGCTGGCCCGTTACGGGCCCCAGGGCCTGAGAGCAGCGGCCCGTGGCGGGGGGCCACTCCAAAGGCGGGCTCGAGGGCTCTGAAGCCCCACGTGTGGGAACAACAGGAGGGCGCCGGGGCCCTGTGGTGGCTGTACCTCTCGGCGGCGCGCCCCAGGGGGAAGTGACAAGGGGCAGGCTTTCTCAGAAGGAGGCGGGGCCTCTCAGAAGCCCTCCAGCCTTCTGCGAAGTTGTCTGCGTGGTCAGGGACGGCTGGGGAAGCTTCTCAGAAGGCCGGAGGCCTTCCGAGCCTTCTGATAAGGCCCGCTCCCTTTTTTATCTCAGGCGCGCAGCCGCGTGGCGACCCGTTGTGCTTCGAGGAGTATTCTATCTGCGCAGAATGGAGCCGTGAGGTGCCGAGTGACGCTGTGTTGTTCTGGACCGTACTGTGCCAATGTGCACCGCATGTCTCCCAAGCGTGGAACCATCCCATTGTCTTGCACTCGCATAGTCCATCGGAGCAGTGACCTACGCAGGCCCAATTCACTGTCGCCTCCCTGGTTGATGCCACGCGTGGAGTTGACTCCACTGTCCGAGTCCATGGGGTCAAGCAGAGCGTGGCCAGGCGTATAGCTGTCACCACTTTCTATTTGTTGTCAAGGTGCAGGTTCATATCCGATGCGACGGACGGCATTGTATTATGGTCGATGCTTTCCACTATCGCCTACATCTAAAGGCCATGTGAACCAGCATGTCATACGGAGGAGGACGAGGTGAGACAAACGGCAAACAGGCAATCTAGTATTCACAGGTTGGATTGGGCACGTCCTCAGTGTTATTGCTGTGCCGTTCACTTGCGCTGCCGCGCGAATCCGCAGCCGCGCTTTGGAGCCTGGATGGATGTCATGGCAGTCCTCGTGGAAGGCAAACAACGCAGGGACGAGTCCCCACAATTTCGCACATTTTGGTTTGAATGAGTCGGGGGGGCCTAATGATTGCTTCGTCATAAGCGGACCGGGCTGAACACGAAAGGGCCGACCCACATACATACACCATCCGCCCTGCGGTGGCGGATTCGATTTAGTACCGCCGTCCGTGCAACCAGATGAGGTAGTCTGACGTCATTGCGCGCATGCAGGGGTCATGCGTGCTGGATGACCTAACACACCAGGGGAGCAGGCAAGCACCGCTCCAACGATGCCGTGGGCCAGTTCGTGATCGCGAGTACCCGCAACAATCAAACAGTGCAGTCAGGATCCGCTCGACCACAGCATCCTCCCAGTTTCGCGAAGGTGATGTGGATTCCGCAAGCAGGTGGCACTACCCATTTTTTTTGCTCGCGTTCACGCGCAGGACCAGCAACAGGCACGCACAGTCGTCGTGGGTCTCAAGGTGTCGACAGCCTACTTCCCAGATGGGAGCCTAGGGACGATCTCACTGGCTGAAGACTCCCAGCGGTCCTGCCAGGACGCAGAGCATTGCCTCCGCTACCGCCGCCTCCCTGGAGAAGTTTGCGGAGACCGGCGAGGAGCCACACTTTGGATGTTTGTATGTTCGGTTTGTTTTACGATTGCAGGTTTTACGATTGCGGCTACATTAGGACAGGAGTATATATTCTCATTTCGTTGTGTGAGTTGTCTAGGGAGCCCCTGGGGCCCTTCCTTCGCTTTCTGGGTACTTTGGAGTTTGGCTTCGCTTTCTGATCTCTTGTGGAGTCGCTTCTAAATCCTGTAAGGGTACGGATGCTTGCAGTGAGTGCCAGGTGCCCGTAAGGTTAAACGTAAAGTTTGTTGCTGATGTTGTTTGGCCTGTATCATTTCTGACAGTGGCCTTGTAAAGGCGTGTACTCGAACGGGGAGCTTGATGCTTCTGGCGATGGCTGGGTAAGATTGTGCGCTGGCAGGTGTCCACCTGGGTGGGGGAGGGGAAAGGAGCAGGGAAAGGAGCCTCACCAATTGGTATGAGACCTGGCAGAGGGTCTTCAGCGAAGTGTGGGGTCGGGTAAGTGTTGTCCCATTTTTGGTACTTACGGATCCGCCTCGTGCAGGCCCGTTGTAAGAGCAGGTGGCCTACATCCGAGCCTGTCAACTGCCTGTCCAGACGTCCTAGGCCGCGCGTTACACTGTGCGTGTCCCCCAGATGGGCTGCCTGCCTTCGTTTAGTCCTTCCTCTTCCCCCTCGCCTCGTCATCCTCCACCTCAGTCGATGCAGGACTCACGCCACTGAAGTTGTTGGCGTCTCTCGGCGGCGCACCCGGGGGAGAAGTGAGGGGGGCGGGCCTCCTCAGAAGGCTCGGAAGTCCCCCCCGAAGTCACGAAACACTTTTCAGACCGGGGGGCTTCTGAGAAACTCCGCCTTCTTCTGAGAATCAGGAGGAGGAAAACACACATGGACACACAGAATCGTCGATTCCTGGAAAATTTAGGGCCGGGAAAATATTGAAGAATATTGGGAATCCTGGGATTTGTGTCTCTAGCCTGCCCTGGCTTGGGGCAGGGTGGGGCTGGGCATCCTTGGCTGACGGGACGGGGAGGGAAGGACCACGCGCGCACTCGCAGCACAGCAGGGCGGCGCGAAGATGGGGTGCGCCGGCGCGGCCGCCGCCCCGCGTGGGCGCGGCCGCCCCGCAGCGATTGCCTTTGCATTGGCCCCGCCGCGATTGCCTTTGAGTTGCATTACCTTTGCCGAGCCTTTGGCGTTGTGTGTCCCTGGGCTCCTCCAGATCCAGAGAAGGCCTTGTCCCTCTCTCACTTCGCCCCTGGGCGCCGCCCAATCTCGGGAGGGGGGGACACTGTGCGTAAAAGCGCTCTCTGAGGGGCCCCCAGCGTGGTCGGTGTGCGACTCGCCCTTCCTGCGGCACAAGGAGCTGTCCTCCTGGCAGGAGCGGGGACGCGCGCGCGCGCGGCACGGGCGCGGGCGGGGGGAATTGCGGAGCTGCGGGGCAGAGCGGGAGAGGCAGAACAGGAAGTGGGTTCAGGGCCAACGTTCGAGGTCCCAGGTGCGAGGTTTTCGGGCGTTTTCTTGAATTCTTGGCGGTTCCCCCGCCTCAGGGTGCTCTCTGGCAGTTCCGCCTCGTCGAGAGCGTTCCGGGGGGGCGCGGGTCGTCCTGAACGGCCGCCGGAGAGCCGCGTTAGACTTGAAAAGCGGGGGGCGGCGTCAAGGGGGGGATGGTCTCAAGGTGGGCGCATCGACCCCCACTCGCGCACTCATCGCCGACAGGGGCCCTTTAGGCCCACCCCTCCCAGCAGCGTGCGGAGTCGCTGTCGGGTGCACCTTGCCGATCCATCGGCGACGTACCGCCGATGCCATGTCGATGTCCCCCCTCCTGAGAGCCGGCCCGCCCCCTCCGACGCTGCCCCTCGCAGGAGCACGCGCAGGGCCAGAGCTGGGCCACCCGCGGGGCGCGCGGAGAGATGATCGCGCTTCGCGCGTCGCGGTCTGGGCCGGGGAGAGGCTGCCTGGTCCTGTGGGGGCGGCGCGGGGGCGCGGGGGCACGGAGAGGGTCGCGCGCCGCGCACCGCCAGGGCGCGAGGCGCGAGGTCCGCGTGGTTTCGGCCAGGAAGAGGCGCGGGGAGGCGGATGGGGCAGGGCCACGGGCAGGTTTTTTCAGTGAGGGGCCCGCCGGGCTGCACGGGCGCGGAGCCCTCAAGCCCGGAAGCCCCCGGGCGGCGCCTCTGCGGTGGGGGCGTTCGTGGAAGAGCGTGCCCAGGAGATGTCAGACCCTGGAGGATTCCTTAGCTCAAGCAGTGGCGAAGCGTCCTGGCTCGCCGACAGGGCCACCAAAACATTTCTGGCTGAGACCGTTATGTTTAAACTAATTTGGCATTCTGTCCTACGAAACGAACCTGAGTTTTTTATTAGAACATTCTAGCGTTCGAACAGCATATCGTGGTAGGCCTATAGGACTGCTGGGCCCGTCGGCCCTTGCTTAATTAACTGATGATGACGGCATGCGATCCATGGCCCAGACTCAGTTGGAGTTCAACCAGCTTCCCAACCGTGTGTATCTTTTCTAATGGTTCCTTATCCAATGCCCTCGCCGTCGCGCCGTCCCCGCCACGATCCGCCGCGCTTCGCGCGCTGGGGAAATCGGGCAACGCCAAGGAAGGTTATCATACGGGAGGTCACCACCTCCTCCTTGAATTCTTGACGCTTTGCGTATCCCCACTAGTTCCGTAGCCTGGCTCAATGCCGTTTGGTGGGCCTGCCCCCTCCGGGGCAATCTCCCACCGCTCAAGGGGGCGCCCGGACGCCGGTTTGTCCCACCCGCCCAGGGCCGAGTGTCCCCCCCACTAGTTACGCGGACGATGGCTGACCCGCACGATGGACATGAGGGAGATCCTGATCGCACAGTACGCGGCTCGGGAGTCCATGTACTGCCACCGATTGAGACATCTCCCCCCCCATGCAGAGCAGCCCTCGCCCACAGGCGTGGCGGAACCAGCATTGAGTACGAATCCGAGACCACCTCCTCCACGCGAGGGGGAAGAAGACTCCCAGGTGCACGCGGAGGGCCTGGACCCTGAGACGAATCCTGAGCACATCCCAGTTCCCCCCATGCCTTCCGCTTCCCCTCGTAGAGGGGCGGACGGCTCGCAACGGACCCGAGCGACGGGCACAGCTCAGTCCACAGCGGTTGGAGGTGGAGACGCGGGGCCCGCTCGGGGGACAGCTGGAGAGGCACGCCCAGGTGGGGATGACCCTGGACACCGAAGGGAGAATGAAGCATTCCCCCCGACTGCGTTGGCAGAGGACCCGCCGCAGGATGACGCGAGCAGAGATATCACCGTTCCCCCCCTCTCCTCCGTCATTTCACCAGATTCTGCGGCTATCGGCTGCGCCCTCTCCTCTCCTCGTCCTCCTACCGTGCAAGGCTCTCACGCAGCGTCATCCGGGGACAGGCCTGACGTACAAGGACTGGACAGTGGAGCGCCAGCGGGCGGATCCCCCTCGTCTGGGGTGACAACAGCCCTCCCTCAGTTCGACATGAGGAGACCCATCTCAGACGATGCCGGCTCCACGCGGACGTGCGCCATGGACGGCCCTCCCTCTTCCCTCGATTTACCAGAGCTCGCGGCTATCGGCTGCGCCTCCTCCCTTCCTCCTCCCCCGACGGCGCAGGGCACGCCTGAGTTCCCCCCAGATATGAGTAGTGGTGCCCTCGGCCAGGGCGGCGCGACAAGGATGCCTGGGGCACCAGGTGCCGAGCAGACCGACTCCAGAGAGGAAGATGCTGCCATGCGGCCGCGCATTGACGCCAGCTCTCTCCCCTCCATCAATTTACTAGATACTGCGGCTATCGGCTGCGCCTCCCCCTCCCCCCATCCTCCGGTCACTCATGTTCCCCCCGCGGCTGGACTGGGCCATGATCCCCATCGGGGCGCAGGCAGTCCACGGAGGAACGATTCCCCCCACATCACTGCAGCGCAAGCTCAAGCTGAGGTTGAGACCGTCGACGCGAGCATCGCAGGAACCCATAGGCCCGTCTCCTCCCCCCACTTATCCAATTCACCAGTCTCTGCGGCTATCGGCTGCGCCTCCCCCCCTCCTCCTCCCCCCGCGGTGCAGAGCGATCTGACAGCAGCGCACGAACGCCCTTCCCAGGGCACGGAGACAGCCGAAGGCGCGGCAGGGATTACGATCCCTGACCGTGGCGCCTCTCAGGGAGAAGAGACCAGCACGGGCATGCAGATAGATGACCGCCCGAGAAGGCCCCAAGGCATGGTGCGAGGCCCCCCACTCAGCCATGATGGGGAGCCTGGTAGAGGGGCGCATTGGCGACGCATGCCCCCAGACGCAGGACGCCCCAGCCCCCGCGGAAGCAATAAGTGCCGCACAGGATGATACGGGCGAGAGGGCACATTACACGGCAGAGCCCCCCAGAGAGGGGCACATCACAGCCTCTCCAGGCAGGATTTCCCCCTCTCCACACGATCCCACTACAGCATGTCCGACCAGCCTGCCCAGGACTGACGCGACAGAGGACGTCGAGATATCCCCCACGGTGCCATTCGGCACGAGAGTGAACCTCGCGGAGGGAGAGGGGTAGCACCGCGCGGAGCATGGCCACACCACAAGGACAGGGATGGCCGCAGGGGAGCCCCCGTCAAGGGAGGGCGAAGGAAGGGACGACACCCCGAGCGACGAGGGGGTGATCGATTGGGATGGCGTTGATGGCAGCACCACCGACTCGGACGCTCGGGGTCGCGACAGCCCAGTCTCCCCTCCCCCAGGCATCTGGCCCGCCCCCCCTCACGGCTCAGGGACCCGCAACCCAGCAAGTTGGGGGGGCGCGCTCAGACAGGGGGGGCGCGCGCCCCAGCTCAGGCCCCCTCCGCCGCCAAGACGAGGGGCGTCGCGCAACGTCGACTCACCCTGCCAGGCCCCAATAGTTATGGATCCCAGGAACACCATGAGAGGGGGTCCCATCTCCGCCCTCGTGGAGCAACGCGAGCCTAGGGGCGGGCCATGGAGGAGCATCCACAGCGACCCCCCTCACAGCCAGGCCATGCGTGAAGGGTTGGTCGAGCTAATGAGTCTCTGCTGGCTCGGACACCCCCCAGGGGACGTTGGCCCTCCCGCTGCAAGGGGAAACAACCGTTCGCTCAGGGAAGGCCCCGGCCCCGCGAGGCAGCAACCAGAAGGCGCAAGAAGCCTCCACAACCGCGCCTCGGCGATGGCCCAGCTGGATCTCTCCTGGCTGGTCTGGTCCATCACAGAATCTGACCGCGAGTCTAGGCTCGGCGGAGTAGGTCCGGATCCAGTCCAGGTGCTTGCGCTCCTCTACGCAAGCCTGTCACAAGACCCAGACATCGAAGCAGGAATGCAGGGCTTTGAGAAGCCAGCGCAGGCAGAAGCCATCGCGGCAGAAAAGGATAATGATGTTCTACGGCAGGCGGCTTTCTACGCGGACATCGGAGTGGGGGACCCGTCAGGGGGCCTCTCCCCCCCCGCTCTACTCGGTCTGTCCAGTTGGCGACGCGACCCTGCGCCGGATGTTGCGGAAAACGGCCCAGCCGACACCAACTCAGAGCACAGGGCCAGGGTGTGTACATACTGAGTCCACGAGCACCGCCGCAACGCCGTGCACTTCCCAGACCATAGCGAAGTCAGGCAGTGGGCTGTCAGCAGAGGACACTGGGTCGAAACAGGGACGGACGTCCTCTCCCTGCCACTGGGCGGCACAGGCCGAGACGGTGGGTTTTCCCCAGCCGTCCTCAGTGCCGTGCCGAGGGCCCCGGACATCTGCGGACCCAGATACTCCCATAGCGCCGACTCGGCAGGATCCTGGCCTGTTAACAGCACTTCGCAGATGATAAGGTTCGGAAATTTCTTCCATCCCAACGGCAGATGCGGATATTGTGGCTGCTGGAACACGCGACAGGACATCCCCAATTGCATTGTGTGCCGCAGGTTGGGATCACCATGGGTGGCCCCTACGGACGATACGCATGCTGACAACCTCGAGGCCCCTGGGCACCCCCTGGATCTTCTAGGCACGAGGCTTTCCAGCTGGCCAGAGTGGGAGCGCGATATGCACCCATTACAAGCCACATAGACACCCACTTCCCCCCGCCAGGTGCCACCAACTACTCGCCGTCGTGGCTGATTGCTGAGCTCCTGGCAGCATGGTGCTACGCGACGGAAATTGCAGTGGATAGCGGCAGGGGAGCACAACTTGGAACACGCCCTGCCGCTGAGGGAGATTGCCTTGTGAGTGCCGGAGTATAGGGCGAACCGGCAGTTCGTGGAGCGCCAGGCTGCTTGACCAGACTCTGCTGTGCCCCGATGGGATGGGTTATGGAAGCTATGTCGCACATTCAGCACGCCATCAAAGAGCACCCCTCCGGCAGCCAGCTACGGAACTGGGTGCCAAGCTGC